GCACGCTGCGCCCCCACCCCTCACCCTGGCCCCCGGGCCTCCCCCAAGCACCCGCGGATCCCGCCCACGGCCAGACGCCCCCCACCAAACTCCCCCCCACCCCCCCCCCTCCCTCCCTCCCTCTCTCCCTCCCATCCCAACCCCCAGATGCTGTCCATCTCCACGGGCAAGCTGGTGCGCTACCTGGTGGAGGATGGCGGGCACATCGCCGCCGACGCGCCGTATGCTGAGGTGGAGGTGATGAAGATGATGATGCCGCTGCTGGCGCCCGCGTCCGGTGCGTGCACAGGGCTGGTGCGTGTGCATGGGTGTGGGGTGCGTGCGTTGGGCAGAGGTGGGTGTGAGGTGGTGGGGAGGAGGAGAGGCAGGCCGTGCGCGGGAGGCTTCGGTGGTGCATTCATGCCGCATCTCTTGCCGACGGCGTGGCCCCTGCTTCCCTCGCGCAGGCAAGGTGCACTTCCAGCTGCCCGAGGGCTCTGTGCTGACCCCCGGCCAGCTCATCGCGCGCCTGGACCTGGACGACCCGGCCGCAGTGCGCAAGTGGGTGTAGGGGACGGGACAAAACCAACAGGGAGAGGGCGGGGAGGAAGGAGACAAGGGGGCGCTGGGATCGGGGGGCGTGGCGGGCATGTGCCTGCTGCTCCATCCCATCCCTGCCCAGCCTCTCACCTCCTCTCGCCTCGTTTCTGCCGCTGCCTCGCCACCCCGCCGCGAGCGCAGGGCCGAGCCCTTCACCGGCTCCTTCCCCGAGCTGGGCCCCCCCGTGGTGGAGAACAAGGGGGTGGCGCACCGCTTCCGCGCCGCGCTGGAGGCCGCCGACAACATCATGGCTGGCTACCACAACTCGCCAGACGCGGGTGGGTGGAGTGTGTCCATGTGTGTGTATGTGGTTGTGGGTATTGTTGTTGCTGCGCTCAGGGACAGCACCTAATTTCATTTTGGCGACATACAGCCATTTTGTGCTGACACTACACCCTCACTCTGCACGCCCCGCTCCTCTGTCCCCCCCCTGCAGTCATGGACGGCCTGCTGTCCAGCCTGGACGACCCCGCCCTGGCCCTGGTGCAGTGGAACGAGGTGTACGGCGTGGTGCAGGACCGCCTGCCTGCCGCGGTTGCGGTGGAGCTGGAGGCATGCGTGACGGGTAGGTGGGGTGGGGTGGGGAGGGAGGGAGGGAGGGGAGATGGGAGTGGAGATGGGAGAGGAGATGAGAGGGGAGGGGGTGGGAAAGGCAGGGCCAGGGCCCTATGGGAGGCGTGTGGTGGCACACCAGCGCATGGAGCGAGCTCCTGGGCTGGGCCTGTATGGATGCTGAGCGAGGAGGTTCACCCGCCTGCCTGCCTGCCTGCCTGCCCGCCCAGCAGAGTGTGCGTACGAGATTGATGAGGCGGCCAGCCAGGGGGGCCAGGCCCAGGGCGCCTTCCGCTCACACAAGCTGCTGGGCATCATGCAGCGCTGCCTGGAGGTGAGCGGGGGCGGGCCAGTGGGGCAGGGGCTCCGGTGCAGGATCCCAGCCCACTTTGATGCCCTGCTTCTCGCCATGCAGCTGGTGGGCCGCAGCATCTAGCAAGCCCTTAGGCATCAGGACGCTGCCCCTGCCAGGCTGCAGCACGCAGTTTGTGCTCCCCCCCGCACTCACGGCTTGCCCCGCCCCACCTCCCTCCACCTCCCGCAGGAGTCTCCCGACGGCGGCGAGCGCGCCAGCCTGGCGGCGCTGCTGGAGCCGCTGCAGGAGGTGTGCGGGGCGCATGCGGGCGGCAAGGAGGAATATGCGCGGGCGCTGTGCGCTCGCCTGATGGAGGCGTTCCTGGCGGTGGAGGAGCGGTTTGAGAATGGGGGCAAGAGCACGGAGCAGGAGGTGATAGACAGCCTGAGACAGGTGGGTGTGGAGAGAGAGAGAGAGAGAGAGAGAGTGTGTGTGTGTGTGGGTGGGGGTGGGGGGGGGGGAGGACAGAGGAAGATGGGTCAGTGGGTGTGTCCAGCCGCATATTTGCAGTGCTTGAGGTAGCGCGTGAGGCGCTTGAAAGCCAGGCACACCACCCCGCCACCCTCTCTCCGCCCTTTGCCCCACCCCCGCCTGCTCCCCGTTGCCTTCCCTCTCGCAGGTGCACAGCGGCAAGCTGCAGGCTGTGCTGGACATTGTGCTGAGCCACCAGGGGGCCGCCCTCAAGTGCGCCTTGCTGCAGCGCCTCATGTCGGCGCTGGTGCTGCCCGCGCCGGAGCACTACCGCTCGCTTCTGCGCCGCCTGGCCGCGCTGGCAGGTGGGTGGGGTGTGCCCTGGTGCTGCTGGCAGCTCGGGGCGCCACTGGAGCCGTCGGCAGCAGGCGGCAGCCCGCAACGCATATGGCTGGGGCTGGCGAAATGCATCAAGTTGCAGCAGCCGCACCCTGCCTCCCACCCTGCCTCCCTCCCACCTCGGCTGCCGCCGCCTGACCGGCCTCCCTCCCGCCGCCGCCGCCGCAGAGCCCAGCAGCGCTGAGGTGGCGCAGCGTGCGCAGCAGCTGCTGGAGCACTCGCTGCTGGGGGAGCTGCGCAGCCTGGTGGCGCGCGCCCTGTCTGGGCTGGACATGTTTGCTGAGCCCCAGTTCCGGGAGCTGTTTGGGGGCGCCACCTCGCCCACCGGCAAGGCAAGCGGGCCAGGGGGGCCAGCCATGCAGGGCGCGCCGCCTGCCGCGATGGCGTGTGGCCACCTGGCTCGCAATTCGCCGCCTGGCCTGGCGCACCTCCTCCATGACTGGACAGGCAGCCGCTGGGGCTGGGCACTCTGAAGCAGCGCCGCTGTCGACCAGCCCCCGCTGCGTCACTGCCTGCCGCCCCCGCCACCCGCTGGCTGGCTAGCCTGCAGGCGCCGTCGACCGCGGTGGCGCGCCGCAACACGGTGGTGGAGGGGCTGTACAGCGGGCTGGGCAACCTCACAGCCCAGGCCGCGCTGCAGTCCAGGTGCGGGGGCAGGGGCTGGGCTGCATGCCTGCTGCTCGGGGCTATGTGTGCGCTGCAAGGTTGCCCATCCATCCCTGCCTTCTTCCTTGTCTTGCGCTGTGGATCTCCTCTCCACCACACTGAGCCTTCACTCCCCCCCACATCTCCACGCACACAGTCACGCTCTCATGTCCTCCTTACCACCCCAACCCCCTCCCCTGCCCCTGCCCCTGCCCCTGCCCGCAGCGTGGAGGCCAAGATGTCGATGCTGGTGGAGGCGCCCGCCGCGGTGGAGGATGCGCTGGCCTCCCTGCTGGACCACACCGACCTGCTGGTGCAGCGCCGCGCTCTGGCCACATACGTGCGCCGCCTCTACTACCCCTTCCTGCTGCACGAGCCGGAGCTGGCGGCGGCGGAGGCGCCGCAGGCGCTGGTGGCAGGTGGGGGCGGTGGGGGCTGGGTCTGTGTGTGTGTGGCTGGGCCATCGGCCTACGGGCCCACGTTTGTGGCGCAGCGAAGCCAGCTGGTGGCATTGCAGCGTGCATGATTGCTGTCCGCCGCACTAGAATAGGGTGATGCGCCTCTGACCTTGCCTGATGTGCCCTGCCTCTCCCTCGCCCCCGCAGTGTGGGCGTACGACGATGCCGCCGTGGCCGCCACCCCCTTCAGCCGGGAGTGCCACGGCGGCGCGCTCATTGTGCGCTGCCTGCACGACATCCCCGCCGCGCTGGCCCACCTGGAGCGCGTGCGGGCGCAGACGGGTGTGCTGGGGGTGGGGCTGGGCTGGCGCATCAGGGCGGTGCTTGCTGGAGCGCAGGCAGTGGGGCGAGGCGGTGGCTCCGCAGCACACCACGGCATGTTTGCGGTTGATGTGTTGCCCAGGCTTGCGCCCCACCCAACCACACAAACACGATCCCGCTCCCCCGCATATGGCAGACCTTGTTGCCCTGCCTGCACTGCCACACCACCACACACACACATGCACGCGCACCCCACCCCTGCCCGCAGGCCTTTCTGGGCTGAGCGCGGGCACCCTGCATGTGGTGCTGACTGGCGAGGGCGAGGCGGCGCTGGTGATGAGCGAGGAGGCGCACGCCCTGCTGCGCCAGCAGAATGTGGATGCCTATGCGCCTTCCGGTGGGTGTGGGTGGCTGGCTGTGTTTGGGGGGGTGCTGCGC